TACACATGGTCGGATGCTCACTGTGAGCCAGGCACCCTCCATGTACTTAATCATGATTTCTGTTTTAGAGATGAAGAGCCCAAGGCTCAAGTGATCAAGGAACCAGCCCAAAGTCCTAGGCAGGTGGCAGCGGAGCTGGGAAATGGCCCTGACGGCTTGCTCTGCCCCCATTCCTCCATCATGCCTTCCTGTATTGTCTCCGACTGGATGCACGCCAACATTGACTTCTCGTGGGATAAATCACCTTGAGTGCCAGCAGGAACAGAAATACCCTCTAGTCATCCATGAACAGATCAGAACTTTGCCCTGTCCTGGGCAAGGCTGGCCCGCTTACGCCCCTTGTTAGGATCACTGTCACTCCACCAGGTCACTGGTCTTCCTCTGACCCTTCACCTTTCCCAGCATGATATCCTCTTCCAAGGACTGGCCCTCCTGACAAAACGCCTCATCTATGCAAGACGGGTTCACCGTCCTTGTCTCTGAGGAGCTCTGCACTTGCACTTTGTCCCAGACTTGTCCGTTCTTTTGGTAGTCCTTGGCACATGTGGTGCTCTCAAACACATTTTTTTTTTTAACACAATTCAAAGGCAGAGATTCTGCTTCCGTTTTCCTTATTCAATGTTCAACTTTGACTGCACTGGAAGCAACTGAAAAAGACCACGGCTTCCATCAGACACGCCTTTGCCTTTAAACTGACATGCCTGCTCTCTAGTTCCACATTGGGCTTTGTTCAACCAAACACTCCCAGCTTCTTCTGTCATACTGCGCCCTCCCCTCATTGGACAGTGAGCTCCACAGAGGAAAGGGGAGACGGCTGGCTGAGTCTTCCTCAGCTACTAGAAGGCTACACAGGCCGTGTTCATCATCTTCAACAGGGGAGATGGCTCTTTGAGTCCTCCTCAGCTACTAGAAGGCTATGCAGGCCATATTCATTGTTTCCAAGTGTGGCCCCCACAGGGGCAGCGGAAAGCCTGAGGTACGGAATTCAATCCAGCAGGCGGTCGGAAGGGAGGCTCGGGGCCTCTGCTTCAGTTTCCACCCTCCTTTTGTTCCCAAAGGTTATTCTCACCAGTCTTTTCAAAGCCAGGTGGCCAGGGCCCTGGACTGGAGAGAATGCCAAAGAAGGTGCAATTGCAGTTCTGGTTCTTGTCCTTATCTAACCTCTGGCTTTCCAAGTAAGGTGGGAAATAAGCTGAAATACCTAATGGATTTTCCATGGAAATAAGGAGTTACGAGAGAATAGTCTGTTCTCTTGGCTGCCTCAGTGACACAGGTTGGTGCTGGAAGTTTCTCTCACCTATTGCGCCATCTCGGAGACCTTGGAAGACGGCAAAGTCTGTGGAATCATCTGTTCTTTCAGACAGCCGCACATCTGGGCCACGTTTTTCCCTCTCCCTCCCATTTGCCTTATTTCTTTTAGAAGTGCTCTCCTCTAGCTGTGTTTTTTTGGGTATTGTACCCATCTGAATGTTGGGAAAGAATTTCCTTTTAGGGTTGGAATGAACTGGTTCTAGGCCAACTGTCGTTTTACTGCCAAATCTGCCTACCTTGTCCCACAGGACCCATTTATAAGGCCAGGACAACATGGCCTCTCAGGGACTGTCATGTCCACAGGCCCTCAGGGGTGACAGTAGTCTAGAAGCCAGATGTGGAAGAGACCGCCCAGCCAGGGCGAAGCAGCTGCCACAGGCCTATCCAGCACCAAATGGATAAAGAAGCTGGTTTGTATAAAAATCATGTGGGAGGAAAACATCCTCAGTTGCTTTAGAAAATGAGTTCTCTTCTTAATCTGGGTGCGGATGCCTGAGGGAGCTCTAGTGGTAAGAGGCCACCAGCTGCTCTGCGGGAGAAGGGCGGGCAATCCCCTCCTGGGCCATTTACACCTCTGAAAACTCACTACAGGCTTGGCACACCAATTCAATGGCACACAACAAAAACGTCATGTCTGAGGCAGCACATTTTTTAAGTGGTAAAAGAATGTTCATCTAGAGCTTTCCCTGCCAGGCAACAATCAAATGCCGACTCTTCAAGCAGAAGAGCAAATAAAATGAGGATCAGTGGGGATGTCACGTGTCATACAGATCTTTACACCAAAATGTCTCTGAAGATAAAATATTAAATCTTTGTGTTAAAAAAAAAAGATCCCAAAGACAGACATTATGATGGTAATAAGGGAAGCAGCCTGAGTGAAACCATCCAACCTGCAGGCTTTTTCTAGAAGCACCCAGGCGAGGTGATGACACGCAGACTGGCCGGAAACGGTAACCTCCAGACACCAGACTAGCAGTACTTTCTAGAAAGAAATCCTTACAGAAATTGAGTCCCACATCTGCATAAACCATCACAACAGCCGATGGAAATAATTTCTATTTCAGCTGCTTTACACATTTGTCATTCTGCAACTGTCCTCCTTTAAAGCCCAGCTCTCCTGCGTGGGAGGCCTATCTCCACCGTGGCTTAGGGACTGACTATGCTGGTGCACCGGCTGCTTCTCAGTGGTCTGCACTCTCCAACAGTCAGCCATGGGCTTTGAATTTCATAAACCAGACTTTGGACCCAGCTCTGAAATGATGTATTGATCGAATGTTTCTAAAATGGGCACCTCAGAGCTGAGAATTCACTGATATGGTGAGGCTGGTAGTCAATGCTTTCTTCCTGCTCCCTTGGCTCTTACACAGCTTTGCTGTACAGCTTACTAATCTCTGAACTTGAATGGCCCATTTTCCTGTAAAGCACAGAGAGGAAGTACCAGTTTTTAACTCAGGGGAAGAAATTCTGTATGAACTTCAAACTTGGATGTAGTTTCCATTTTCTCATTTACCCAGTAATTCCATGCTAAGTCCTCATCTAGCTGGGCAGCCCGGCAAGGAGTTTACAAATTCTTATAATAAAAATTTCTGCTGAGAGAGGAAAAGAAGACACTTCTGGAACAGGAAATTGCTGCAGAACCAAACTGTGTGTATAACATTTTTTGGTTTTTTTATCATAGTATTTTCACAACTAGCCAAGAAATTCTCATTTTTTCTTCACAGTTGCAGTGGCCATCACATTTCCAAGGCGAGTATTCCTGGGAACTGAGCCCAGCATCACTAATGCACACCATTTGTCCAGCTCTTTGGCTCAGTGGAGCCTGGGTTTACATTATTTATGGAGTTGTTTTATATTATCTGACATGTGTACTCTAAGAGCACGTATCTGTACGTACGAGCCTCTGAACAAGCGTCTAGTGTCTGATGTTGTTAGGTGCCGCTGCATGTCCATGTAGAATGGAATGAAACCTTGCCTGTTCCTCCACCAACTTCATCATCTGCTGCGCTGAAGTCCTTCACTGTCACCACTGTGTCAACCAATCTCACTCAGAGTCTTTCCCTTTATGCTGATCCTCTCCTTTACCACAAAGGAAAATTACGTTAATAGCTTAAACGTAAATTTTACAGAGAATTAGAAGTACCGGGCCCCTACTGGATTTAAAGCTTGGATGTATTAAGATTAAAATAACACGTGTTACTGGATGTGACTCACATCAGGTAACAATTTACAACAAAGGACTGGACTGATCCTTGGTAAGTAACCCCAGCCTCCCTATTTCCCCAGACAGAAAACCCAGACTCAGGCGCCTCCCTGTGGAAGACTCATCACCACAGTCAAGCGTGCCTCTCAGTGGGGCCCAGGCAGGCGTGAGTACGCAGAAGCCACAGCATAAACATGGCACATTTTCCTAGATCATCTTTACTTGAAGATTTTTTTTTTCTGGGGAAAAAAAATGTAGATAATGCAAAACATTTTCATATTAAAACAAATGCAGAGAATATTGAATAAAATATAAAACTGACGTTACTCTTTGAGATACAGTAAGTGACATGACAGACATTTCAAGCTGAGCCACCTGGCTTCAGGCTGCATTCCTGAACCTGGGGGAGGGCGGGGGCCTGCATGCTCGCTCTCCCTGCGTCTCTACTGCTCAGAGGGAGAAGTCTGACAAGCAAGCGGCAGATGAAGTGCTTACACAGTTGGCAATGTCCCAGGGATTATTTAAACAAGGGAAACTGCTTTTAGAGGCCTGAGTAAATAAAAGTTTAAGCTTAAGTTTTATGGCCCCCACCCCCACCCCGTGATTTCTTCTTCCCATAAAGGCGTGTTAACATGCCTAACTGAGGGTTTGACGTGCCAGGTGGTCCAACCCTACAACCTTGTGGGCATCAGTCCACGCTGCTGGCTTTGGGCCCGCAAGAGCACGTTCCGAGGGTGCCATTAGGGTGAAAAGCAAACTACTCATCTTCCCTAACAACAAAAAAACCAAACAAGACACGCAAGAGCGAACTTAACATAGAAAGAACTGTGTGGTGGTGTAATTTAGGGACTGGCAAAGACTGAGCTTTCTTAGGAAAGGGGATTACTGCTGCATTGTTGGCTTTTCATACTTTATATGAAAACAAGAACTTCTTTTAGAAAAAGAAAAGTCATGACACTTTCTTTCCAAATCTGTGCGTTCTCTATAATCTTTTCTTCAAGTCTGATCAAACTACTCAAAGTGAACATCTATACAGGCACACTCCACGTAAGCGGCAGACTTCAGAGGCCGCCTGGGAGAAAGGAATGCTTAACTTCTTAGGCAGTTTGTCGTACTAACGGCTTAGGTTTTATAGAATCATTTCTATTTCTTCTTGGGATTCTACTCTTCATTTTATAAAATCTTAGTGGAGACTCAAATCACATGACAACCATGTTGGTACCTGAAGGGAAATGAAACTTTGTCTAAAAAAAGGTTACGTCTGAAGCAAAAAGGTCCCATTTCAGAGTAACTAAAGGGGGGGGGAATCTCAGCGGTAAATTCTGTTTTGTTGGAAAAAAGAAAAAAGGCAGACATCAAACACCTCCATTTTCCCAAGATTAAATGATTATTTAAAAAAAGCGCGCCACACTGTATAGAAATCAGCATTCTCTCCCATAATTCTGTGCATCTGGGACTAAAGAAATGTCACTGTCCCTGCCCCACATCTTCAAATTAACATTCTCAGGTCACAACAGTAAGTCTTCCCAAAGGGGACCTTCCGGAAAAACAAGCTATTTCCTCGGCTCATATTTCCCTGGGGGGAAAAAAAAGAACATGAATAAATGAAATACTGCATGAAGAAGAGATCAGTCAGTTCAAACCAGCAGAGTGAAATTCAACTGGACACATTTTTAGGAGACATGAGGAGAGTGATCAGGACAAGCCTGGGCCCAACCCCACAGAGCAGGGATTTGTGTTCTGACTCAAATGTCAGAATCCAAGGATTCTGTGCTGTCACGGCACTAACAAAGTGTGATTTTGCCTCCTGGCTCAGGCAAGAAGGCTTGACATGGAGTATGGCTCTGTCACTTGCTAGCTGGGGCAATCAATAGACCTCAGGAACCTAAAGTAAAATCCAGTTCGTGCTAGCTTTTATTTTTTAATGAAATGATCATTTGTTGCAGGAGTACTTTTCTGGCTCACCTGGATACAGCCTGTGTGGGTAACACACTTGGAATTACCTTGCCTGCTCTAAGCTGGTTTCTTATATGGGAAGTTGCTTGCCTGAGGATTACATGAGCTCTTAGCCTAACACTCGTCATATAATAAATGCTCAGTCAAGATCTACTACTCTTTTAAGAACTTAGGAGGAACCCTGCAGGTAGATGATTAAGCACTGGGCTGAAAATAAACAGGTTGGTGGTTTGAGCCCACCAGCTGCTTCATGGGACAAAGATGAGGCCGTTACTTCCAGAAAGATTTCTAGTCTTAGAAACTTGACAGGGCAGTTCTACTCCATCCTAAAGGCCACTGTGAGTTGGGATGGACTTGATGGCAGTGGGTAAGCACTAGCAGGACCAATGTGCCCCGGGGAAGGTGCACTGATTCCCTAAGAGGAGCAGGGAAATAAAGGCCATTTTTCCTTTCAAGGGAGAAGCACATCAAGAGATCGTGTAATACAGAGTCTGGCACTCGGAAGGCCAGTGTCAGGACAGCACTGAAACCCTGCTCTAGCCGGGCTCGCAGAGGGGAGCGCAAGACACACCATCAGAACAAATGCAGCCGCAGCGGCAGTGCCTTTTCGCTCAGAGCCCAGCTGGGGAGGCCTGGGCTCTGTGAACAAAGCCTTTCTCATCTGCAACACCAGAGCTATACGAATGCAACAAAGGGCTTTTTTTATTCTTTTTTTCCCCGGATAACTTTAAAAAGTGCTTCCCACTCAAAAACAGCTTGAAACTGATGGTAGGTCACTTAAAATGATTCTGTGCTAAATTTAGCAAACAGGCCATCCATTATTTTAGGTCTATTAACACTTTGCTTGGATTGATCTAAACCTTCTGGTTGCAAACAATATACCTCATTGTAGTAAGGAATAGAAGGAAACCTGTGAGAACCCATCTCGGGTGGGGCTGCTTTGTTTTGCTGGTTTCCCACCATTGATTAAGTGCAGCTTTATCACCTTCCTTTTACCTTGTATTAGAAGGATCTCTGATGGTTCTAATCCACCAGCAACTCTGAGGGAGAAGGTGGGAAATCTCCCACTGCCATTCACAGCCTCAGAACACTGTGACAGTCATAAATAAACAATTCCTTACTTCTCAGCTTCCTTATCTAAGCTGTGTGGAAATATTTAAATACTCAGGAGACTCTGAGCAATTGAAAAAAAAAGGAAGCTAGGGGGTGGAAGCAGTGAAAAAGTCTGAAATGAAGATCATCATTTTAACAACCAAGGTAACTGTAGCCTAACTGCAATTTGAATGGGGTGACTCAAAGGACTTCTAGGTCACATCTGGCCTCTTTACATTATTTTTTCCGTTGCTGCCTAAGCACTACATTTTATTACTATGCCAGAAAAATTCAGTTGAGGCAGCGTACAGGGGACAGGAGCTGGCAGCTAAGGGCTGACCCACAAAGAATCCCACTGAAACCTGGGTTTCTAGTGACATTATTTAAGAAATTAAATGGAAGGGAGCTCTGGTGGCCTATTGGCAAGAAGCTGCACTGCAATCCCAGAAGTATGTGGTTTGAATCCACCAAATGCTCTGCTGGAGGAGGGGCAATCTCCTCCTGTACCAGTCAGATCTGATTTGACAGTACACATACAAAATAATAAAATAAAATTAAAAAAAAAAAAGAAATTAAATGGGAACAAACCCAGACAAAATGAAAAGGAGAAATACCTCTTTCTGTAGGATGGACCAACAATCTATCCAAGAAGTATATACTGGAGCATAAGGAGGGGAGCCGCCAGCAAGCCTGAAAGAGGAAAAATGCTTAGTTACTCAAAACAGTCTCGGCCGCACTCGTTGCCCCCTGACAGTGGCATCTGCAGCTCGCTTCAAGATGGCCACCTGGCTTACATTCATTTTCTGCTGAACAATTTTTAACTTTCATTGTCTTTTCCGCCTGCCTCGATCGCCTCTCGCTGGCTGCTTTTTCTGGAATCGTTTATCAAGCAAAAATGCATCGAACAACAAGAATCAAAATCACTGAGCTAAATCCCCACCTGATGTGTGTGCTTTGTGGAGGGTACTTCATTGATGCCACCACCATAAGAGAATGTCTACATTCCTTCTGGAAAACATGTATTTGTCCATTACCTGGAGACCAGCAAGTATTGTCCTATCTGTGATGTCCAAGTTCACAAAACCAGACCACTACTGAACGTAAAACTCTTCAAGTCATTGTATACAAATTAGTTCCAGGACTCTTCAAATATGAAATGAAGAGGCGGGGGGGATTTTTTAATGCAGCTCATCCTACCGCAGATGCTGCCAATGGGTCTAATGAAGATAGAGGAGAAGTTGCAGATGAAGATAATTATAACTGATGATGAGATAATAAGCTTATCTATTGAATTCTTTGACCAGAGCAGATTGGATCTGAAAATAAAGATAAAGAGAAATCTAGGAAGAAGTAAATGATAAAAGATATTTACCATGCCCAGCAGCAATGACTGTGATGCACCTAAGAAAATTTCTCAGAAGTAAAATGGAGATACCTAATACTTTGCAGATTGATGTAATGTATGAAGAGGAACCTTTAAAGGATTACTATACACTGATGGATATTGCCTACATCTTTATCTGGAGAAGGAATGGACCACTACCTACTTGCAAAAGAATGAAGATCAGTCACCAGAGAGATGGCCTGACCAGTACTGGAGAACTGGAAAGTGACTCTGGGAGTGACAAGGCAAACAGCCCAGCAGGAGGAATTCCGTCCACTTCTTGTTTGCCTAGCCCCAGCACTCCAGTCCAGTCTCCTCATCCTCAATTTCCTGTACCATGAATGGAACCAGCAACGACCCCAGTGGTAACTACTAATCTTCTTTTGCAAATAGACCTCGAAAATCATCTGTAAATCGGTCTTCAGCAACCTCATCTGGCTGATACTTGAGACTGTTAAGGAAAAATTTTAAACCCCTGATTTATATAGATATCTTCATGCCATTACAGCTTTATAGATGCTAATACATATGGTTATCGTCCAATTTGCTTTCTTTTGTAGTGACATTAAATTTGGCTATTAAAAAAAACCAAACACATCACAGTCTCAAGAATTTGATCAACTATCAAAATACTCTACCACCTAGAAGGTGCTGCAAGGTGCAATGTTTTTTTCCCTTCACTTTATTTATGTACTAATTTTAGTGAAGGGTTACAAATCATTCATTTTCATTCATTCACATTTTGGTTTAGACTTAATTACAAATGATTATTATAATATGTAATCAAACCCAGGCCTTTTTGATGAACAGTCAGTTGGAGGCTTAGAGCATCCTACTTAAAGCAGTTATGATTGCTGCAATGGGCTCTGGTGTGTGAGGATGGCAGAGGATAGGACAGGGTTCAGATCTGTGGTATTTTATACAGTTGCTCTTGGTCGTACCTGACTCAGCGGCACCTAACAACAACAACAACAACAATCAAACCCAAGCGTGTCAGAGTTTGTGAGGATGGTACAGGATAGGACAGGTTTCAGATTTGTTGTTCACAGGGTCGCTCTGAGTCATACTCAACAGCACCTAACAACAACAGTCAAACCTTTCTTGTATACTGCCTTCCCCTTCACCCAATGGATCTATTAATTTGAGCTCACCCAAGGGGCAATTTTAGTCCTGATGAAACTTAACTATATTGAAGAGCAGGAAAAGACTGAGCATTTCACATTTGGACAAATCAAACTCCAGAACAAAGTAACTACAGGATTAAATAACAGAGAAAGGAGATTTAAATATTAACTGGGGTTCACAGAAATCTTGAAGATGACAAAAGATCTAAACTGTGGTGACTCTTCAGCAGGCTGTTGCCGCTGCTGGGTGCTGTCCATCAAGCACGATTCACAGTGACCCTATGAACTTTGTCCTATCCTCATTTTCTGACATACTTGAGAACTGTGTCAATTCATCTTATTGAGGGTCCTGCTCTCTTTTAATAACCCTCTACCTTGCCAAGCATGATGTCCTTTTTCAAGGACCAGTCCCTCCTAACATCATGCCCAATGTAAGTGAGATGAAGCTTTACCATCCCTGCTTCTAAGAAGCACTCTGGCTGAACTTTGCCCAGGACAAGGATGTTTATTTGGCAGCCCATAGGATAGTCAGTATCTTCTCCAAAACGACAACTCAAAGGCACCAATTCTTCTGTCATTCTTATTCACTCATTGTCCAGCTCTCAGATGTAAAGCAAGTGACTGAAAAGACTATGGTCCAAATCAGGTGCACCTTAAGTCTTTAAATTGACATCACTGCTCCAGTAGTTTGGAGAGGTCTCTCACAATAGACTTTCTCAGTATATCATGTCTTTTGATATCTTGACTACCAGTGCCAGGTTCATTGTGGATCCAAGTAAGATAAAACTGTTGACAATTTCAATCTTTTCTCCAGTGGTAAGAATTTCAAATCCTTCTCACTTTCAGCAAGCAAGGTTCTATCATCTCCATAATGTAGGTTGTTATCATCTTCCTCCAATCCCACCGCCACATTCTACTTCATTGAGTCTAGCTTCTAGAAGGATCTGCTCAGCACACAGATTGCACAGGTGTGGAAAAAGGACATAGCTCTGACACACACCTTTCTTGATTTTAAAACATGCAGTGTAACCTTACTCTCTTTGGACAATAGATTTTTTTACATCTGTTTTTATATGAACATAATTAAAAGTCCTGGGATTTTCCTGTGCTAACCCTATAATGTTCTCTCTAAAAAATTGTGAACATAAGACTAATAAATTCAACTTGTCCCTCAATTAGGCTGAGTGAGTATGGGGCAGCTGCTTTCATATCCCTAACAGAACATAATGTGATGGTCAAACTTTGCTTCAAATTCTGCCCAGATACCCATTTGTCATCTTGTTTTGAAAACAATGATATGTTTCATGGATACTGTGTTAGGGACTATATTGGAAATTGTCTTCAATTCTCTCAAGGGGTCAAATGTTCTACTCTACCTGGTAGGGTTGCTTGGTATCTATACACTGGAAACCAGTGAAGCCCAACACCAACTACTCTTTACAGTCAATACAGTGAAAAGTAGCCTGAGAACTTCCTGGAGACTAGGAAATGTTTTACTTCTCATTCGTTAAAACTCACTCTCTCCATGAAGTCCTCCATGAAAAACAGCTCAATTTCTGTCTAGACTACTGTTACTCATAAAAAAAGAAGACTTAAAAAAAGATGGGAAAATAGAATTTGCTAATTATTTTGCCTTTCTTTTTAGGATAGAGCCTGTTCTATTAAGGCAAGCACCTACTACTTATAAGTACTTGAGAAACATTATTTATTTATGCCCTTCTTGATTCCAAAAAAAGATGTGAGGTGACTATTTCTAGATACAAACTGCTATTGTGCTGTATGGAACATGCAGAGGAAAAATTCCTAGAAAACCTCATAGCAGATCTTTTCTTCCCCAAACGTCTTTCAGGGCTGCTCTGTCAGGCACCTAGCAGTCAACTCCTAGGATAAAAAGTGCAAGGAGCTTACCCACAGTTGTTGACAGCCATAAGATTAGAGACAAGCACGAAAGGGTAGGTCAGCATACTGGCAAAAAACTGTCGAGTAATAAAAAGAAACGGCAGCTAAGTTATTGTTTCATTCCTAGTTTTATTTATTCTGTTCTTATCCTTCCCTCTCAACAGCCCAGAACTGTGTGCCAAATACTCCAACACTGTTTTGCTTTCTTAGTATCGTAGGACAGGCTGGTTAACATATTTTTTTAACTTGATGATGCTCATTCTCCTTTTTTTTTAATTTTATTTGTGTGTACCATCAAATCAGATCTGACTGGTATAGGAGGAGACTATCCCTCCTTCCCTGGCAGAGCATCTGGTGGATTCGAACCATGCACCTCTGGGATTGTACTGCAACTTCTTGCCACTAGGCCACCAGAGCTCCCCCGATGCTCATTCTCTTAACATATCAGTATAGTCAACATTCTAGCAAAAGGCCAGGAGACTTCTCTTATCCTCCAAATTATCATTCAAATGAAACTGAACTATATTATTTAGGAGAACAAGTAAACAGTATAAAACAAAGCAAGCCAAGCCTCCTTTGAAGGACAATGAAAACTACTTTTAAAGTCAACTTTTTGAAGACTCCATGAAGTTTAAATAGGATGAAGTTTTCTTGTGTATATGCACACAGAAATATGTAAATATGGCCTGAGAATCTGTGAGCTTTGTGAGTTGTTAAGATTGTCATTCTCTATTTGGACACAAATATTTATTTTCCAAGAAGACAATGAGTTGCTTTTTTATTTTTACAAAAAAAAAAAATTCTATTTTGTACTGGTTTACATACAAAATGTGTATACATTGTGTTACATACAATCATTCAGTTGCTTTTAAGCAGTTATAACAGAGATCAAATAAACAGTAATTAACAAAGACCAAAATCGCCCACAATTATTCCTAAAAAGAGGATTAAGAAAACTTACTCCTGTGACAGCTTGAGAATAACTCTTCATTTCACTCATGGTAGAAACCTAAAATAGGTACAAAGTCTTTATGAAACTAAGTAAATGAAGCAGATAATTGAGTTAGCTGTCCCTAACTGTATCACTGTATTATATACTTTCTGTTAGCATCAGTTTCTGTTAGGGTTAAGATGCCTTTAACATAAAATATTAATTATTAGCAGAAAAAGATAGTTATCAGAACCAACTCCTTAATTAAACACTAACAAATTCTGAAGATGGTTCTGAACTAAAAGTAGTAATCTCAGAACTCAGAAAGTTAAGTCAAGATTTGTAACCTTTTATCCATGTTTTGGAAATATAGTCCCCAGAAAACTGTATTTACAGTACATTTATAGGATACAGGATGCTCTATTACGTATATACCTTAGACCGCAGATATTGTGGAAAAGGTCAATCTCTATACCCAAGGCGTGTAAAACATGGACACACTGCTTGGGGTGTTCCCTTTTCCACCACACTACACTATGGAAATGCTAAGGAGCCCTAGTGACACAGTGGGTTAAGTGTTGGGTCACCAAGTGAAAGGCTGGAAGTTTGAACCCACCTGCTTCTCCAATGGAAAAGGATGAGACAGTCCACTTTAAGATTTACACCCTTGCACACTTGCAGGAACTGTTTTTCTCTGTGCTGTAGGGTCTCATAAGTAAGAACTGACTTGATGGCAGAGGCTCTGTTATTTATTTACATATATCAGGGCTGCCTGTGTACAAAGAAACCCTCCACTACAGAGGCAGGAAACTTGCTTCCAGGAGAGGCTGGTTTTCAAACCTCCCAGTCTGAGGTTTCTAGTAAGCCCAATATAAAAAGCCCCTCTGCCTTCCAGATTGGATGAAAACCCCTAGGAATACCATAAAACTGTTCCTTGCTTCATGGTGTCCTCCCAAATGAGGAACAATGAAGCAGCGACACCCTGGCAGCCCTGGGCACGCTCTGTACAAGCCCGGGGAAGCTTCTTAGGTGCTGGGCTCTTTGAGAAACAACAGGGACTCTTCCATCAGCCTCAACTGAGGACTGATCACTTTTACCCACATAATGGTGAGTCTAGAACAAAGGAAATTGTCATCTTGCTTTGAAACCAACCTAGCTGTTGTCTGAGTACAGTAAGTCAGCACCAGTACATCTCGTCAAGGTCACACACCTACCCCACTGTCCAGTGCATAGGTATTGACGAGGTAGGCCAGTGAGTTACAGAGCCACAAAGAAATGATGTCACCTAGGAGGCGAGGAATAAGACCCCTATATGAAGAAACAATAAAAACAGGAAGAACCAAGAAATGTCATCAGTCAAAAGATAATTCAGCCAATATAAATACTTCTCAAAGAATTCAATTAAAAATGTTGCTGCGAACTGAAAAGATACTACACACAGAAATCGGGCTCTCTTACCGAGTTTTTTCTAGATTCACAATCTGGACCTCATCTCTAATGACCTCTGTTCCCATTTTAAAAATGCAGGTCAGCTCTTTCCTTTTGAACTATGGCCAAGGACTCAACTTACTATTAACAACTCTAAATAAGAAGGGCAAGTACTTTGGAGCAGATACTGAAAAACAGCTTTTGTTACAATAGTTTATATGCAAATTTAGTAGGTCAAAAGATTGAAAAAACTGACAACGCGAGAATAGGTCAAACACAAAAATAGCTTAGACACATCAAAAGACATGTCTTCAAGACCTGGGTGACCAAAGTGAGGCAGCATGGGAAGAATAGTATCGCACAGACTGAAATCTAGGGCCCCTGTGCCAGGCAAGTGCTGTCAGTGATCAGCTAGGCGACTCGCTGCAGATCAGCTTCCTGAGTACTTTCTAATCTATCAAATAACAAAAGCTTTCCTGCTATTATGATCAAGAAAATCATGAAGAAACACTGAAAATTACAAATTCCCCTTTAGCTAATAATACAAAGTTTTTATTGTTAACAGAAAAATGAGGTTTAGCCCAAGTTCTCCAAAATAAATTCAAGGGAATGTAATACAAGTATACAAAAAATGGTTCTTTCAAGAGAAGGACAATAAATGTTAAATCCTTTCTCCAGTTTTGAAAAATCAATTTTCCTAATTTTATTAACTGTATCTAGCTAGGAAGGTGGTGAATCTGATATAGAAAAAAAAAAACAAAACACAAAAACTCTTCATTTCCAATGTTTTAAATACCCAGAAACAAAGGTTTGGATCTTTAGAAGAGAATTAAAGCCAGAAGCAATATAAAGAGAACCGCACAATTCCTCTAAGAATTGAACAGAGATTTATTTACTGCCTGTATTTTAATGAAAGCTTTCTTCTACTCACATATCAATCTCTCTCTCTCGGTGTCTCTAACACACACACACACACACACACACACACACACACACACACACACAATAAGAGAGAGAAAGAGGGATCTCAGTATCTACTCACGCAAAGAATCCTAGGATGCCCTCTTCACGGTAGATGGTTACTATGGAGTCATAAAGTCCACTAAGCACACAAGAAGAAGGAAAGTTAAAAACACAAAAATGGTAACTTTATACAAAGTCAAATTTCTATCCCCCCCTCTCTTTTCTAGTATACCCTGGCTCTACGGAGAGAGCTGAATTTGGAGACAGAAATAAGATAGTAACAGTGTTAAGAGTGCAGTGACCGGAGCCAGGGCGCATCTCAGCTTCAGCAGCTCTGCAGCCTACTCTGAGACCCCCAAATCCCTTTTCTCTTTTGCTGTAGGGTAATTTTTTTTTTGTGAGGCGCAAGAGGACTTAAGATATAGGAATCTGTTCTATAAACTGCGAGGTATCATAAAAATGCAAAGTAGTATCCTATCTGTTTGGCTTCAATAGATCTTAAATGGTTAAAACCAAAAACACTTACCAATATTTGGATTCTCTGCCAATGAACTGTACCATTGATCTCAGAGTGATCACTACAGAACAGAGAGAAATATTTTTTTAAAAGCTACACTGAAAAATGTTTTGATAGCCCTGGGGGGGGAAAGGTTTCTCTGTACTTAAAGATACTTTTGTTATCTGGATATATTGGATAAAAAGCAAAGGCAAGCAGGCAAACAGAAAACATGCAAGAAAGGCACTTTAGTCAACTGCCATGTGAACCTCACTAAGAAGTCAGGAGAGGAAGTTACAAAAGGGAGGTGGGAATCAAGACTGCAGTTACCCACTGCAAACATACCGTGGAAGGGGTGTGTGATGAGGGTAGCAGCAGAACGGGCCATCATCTCTCGTGTTGTCTAGAAACAATCAACACACACTTCTGAAATCTACATAAACGACACTGACATCCTTGTGAGAAGGCATGTGGGTTGGTATTGTAGTTTGTACACTCATTCCTCCCTTAACATCATGGCAGATGAGGTCGTTATGGGAAAACAGGCATGATGGAAAATGGATGATGATCACGTGAGATCACAAAACAGATACTGACGACATCTTGACATCACTGTCAAACCACTGAGCATCATGGCCCAGCCAAGCTGACATACACCGCAGCCAGTGTCCCTCTCACCTTGCACCATCGTTAATGTGCAAACAGTGGACCATCATTAATGTGCAAAATAGTCTAATCTTTGATTTCATTCAAAACGGAAATGTCTAATGAGACGATTGATAAGAGAGGAGCGGGTGCTGTAAGAAGAATGAGAACTACACAGCACTCCCGCCCTGGAGTAGGAAGAGCAGCTCCAAGGGGCCACAACATAATAGTTGTTCTATCAGATTTTTCACTTATGGATTTCATTCTTCTGTTATAGTTACTTCACAGAAAAGATCTCTGCAAAGTAGGTACTGTTACTGTTGCACGCTGGCAGATAAAAACAAAAGCATAAGGAGTGGTCACCAGGAAATCATCAGAGAACCAGAAACACACGATGAAGTCTGCTTTTACAGTATTAAGTCATTAGCTAAGTGTCATTCCCTTTACCCTGCACAGACATCGTAGGGCAGAGAGCGAGCAAATTTGATCTGTCTGTGACCACAATGCTACAGTGCACACCATCCTTCAAGCTGCTGCATTTATTGTCTTCTTTTATCTATTCATCACTCAGTAACTAGGTGAGAAAGTTACATGTTATCGCTTGTAAATGTAGTAGATTTGCCATTCATTTCTGCCCTTAAACATTATCTGTTGTCAATAAGAGGTCCTCCCTACCCCCTACCATTCATAGAAGTTATGAGAAGACGGCATGTTCCAGTGCAGTGAACTAAAGAAAATATAAATTTATACAAATTCACTTCATGAAAATGTCAGAAAACAAAGCCATTTCATTTTGTCTTAGACTTTCCATATTTTCATATGTATTTTATATATATAAAAGATAATATCTATTTTCATAATATATATGTTCATAATATATATAATATTTTCATTTTATATATGTATATAAAGATAGCAACTGTAACTTTATTTGAAACAATGAGACAATGCAAAGACTGAAAAGCAATAGAATTGTTCTAGATTTCACACACGAGAAGTCAGGCAAGAAAAAACTCTAACGGCAGGAGATGAAAGTGGGAAATGAGCAATGAGAAACACCCCAAAGTTAGATTCATGCCATAAAAGCTTTTCTGGACACAAATCTAAAATCCAATGGACAAAAGTAACTTAACACTCTTGTGCCAGGGGCTTTCAAGTCCATTATAAGTCTTCAGTAGAAACATTTTTCTTTTCATTTTGTAGAAGAAATGAGTGGATAAATGAGTTTCCTCTTCAGTTAGTTACTCTTGCTGAAAAGAATCTATTCGAAAGATCCAGTAATAGTTGTCCACATTTTGCCCGTGGGCTTTTTACAGAATTTTTTTAACAAACAAAAAAAAAATAAATTGTTATTTCAGTGCAAATTTACAGATCATGCTATTTTCCATTCCTCTCTTGTATTTTCACGTTTCTTTGGGAACTGACACCCAGTACACAGGTGTGATGACCCTGAGTCCACAATACCCCACCGCTCCCAACCTGATTTAGGGAAATGGTGTCAGATGTAATTCACCTCTTACCTCCTTGATAACTCGGTCAAAGGAACATGGGCTGTCTTTCTGAATACTTCCAGGTCCTAACTCCTGAAAATAAAAATCAAAGAAAAGAGATCCTGATGGTTTCCATACAAACTATTACATTGGTGAGTGCCCCACCTGGCATGAGAGAGAAAATGACCACATGGCCCCCTTCTAAGGAGAATTAAATAGCAAGAACACATAAGAGACAGGGCCCACACACAGAATCAGCAACAACGCACCTCTGTCTTCCCACAGTCCTGGTAGTGCTGCAAAGAAACAAACAGAAGACAATTAGGGCTGTTACAAGGCCATGTTAGAGAGGACAGAAAGTAAACCGGCTACATTCCCCCATCCCCAGTCTCTCATTAACTTCGCCTTCTTATCAATTTGAAATAACTGTTTCTAACGGTGGTCTTGTTGACAAGATAACCAATTAGTTAGCTAGAGGACATTCTTACTCAAAAACAGAAAAAGGAAAATCACAGATTCCTTTACTAAATATACACACTCAACAAAAAAATAAGCTGGCTAAGGCATGGTGCAGGGCTCCTAGTCTTCTGACTGAATATGCCAGACCAATACCAAATTAGGGCAAGATTGTTGTCTTCATTGTACAGAGAACAGAGAAGTGGTGCTAAGTCTGAATAGCTGAAATTGTCTCCCTTTTCTTTTAGTATCATCGGACTGTTTCTAAACAAGCAAAGGAAAAAAACCAAATCAATCCCCAAATACCAAATAAAATTAGAAAACCAACAACAGCAAAACCCCAAGACCCTTTTAGAGAACATGGACACAGTCAGATCATAGTGAAAGTGAAATATATTTGTGGGCTGTTTTAGAAATAAAAGGTAGACTAGATGAAAAACAAATCAGACAACGGATTTAACATGCTTTACTATAATCTTACTATAAAATTAAGAAAGTTTTACTACTTTCTCAAAATAGTAAATAAAAAACCCAAGAGAACAAAGATCAAGCAAAATTATGTCTCTGGACAAATTCCAGGACCTTTGTTAGCACTAACTTTAATAGTTTCAGACCTCTTTAAAAAATTCTCACTCTTTTTTTCCCAAAAAAAAAATTCTCACTCATTTTCAATCTTTGCTTTTACTCTATCAACAAAATGGTTTCTGAATAGATTTGAGCATTGCTTTTTTTTTTATATGTAAAGGTCCGAGTTTCCTCAAATCTGAGTATGTCTTTCTTCAACCCTCATTTAGATTTCATTTGTTTACATATTTTTGTTTTTAAGTGGAAGTTTTTTTACTCATACACATTTTTCACATTATCATTGATTATGCAATTATAATATCTGATAAATCCCTTGTTGTATACCTTTATGCAACTTAACTATTTTTAATATCCTCTCTCCCCATCCCAACTCTTATAACCATTCAAGAATGATTCTGTCTGTAAATCTATCCTTAGATTTTTAATAATTTCCTCTGGACTTATCCACGTAGTACAGTGTTTCAGATTCTTCATTGTTTTTTATTAAGGTATAAGATTTATGTATCCTAATGTATACTATAGTGTCTTTATCCATTTGTCCATTGATTGGTCCTTGGGTTGTTTCTCTCTCTATTGCAAATAATGCTGCAATAAACATCAATGTTCATATGTTTGCACCTCAGCTCTTATTTCACTGGGATATATACCTAGCAGTGGAATTGTTGGTCAAACAGTATTTCTATTTTCCTACTAAGTAAGTGTCAAACTGCTTTCCTTAGCGGTTGCACCATTTTACATTCCCTATAATGTATGAGGGAGCTCTGGTGGCTTAGTGGTAAGAAATTGTGCTGCCAATGCAAAGGCTCGTGGTTCGAACTCACCAGCTGCTCCATGGGAAAAAGATGGATAATCTCTTCCTGTGTGATTAGATGCCTTTGAAAACCCGCTAGCAGGTTAGCTGTGGGTTGGTTTTGACTCAGCAGTACACAAAGATGACAACAGTGTCTAAGAGTTTCAATCTCTTCACACTTTTGTCAGCATTTGTTGTTTGCTGTCTTCAACTCTGCCATTCTTGCTGGGGTGAGGTATCTCACTGTTGCCGGTGTCCCACCCCCTTTCTTTGTTGTTTTGATACGCATCTTTCTAATAGCTAACGATCTTGAGCATTTCTTTGTGTGTTTGTTGAAGTCATCTAAATGTCTTCTGTAGTGAAGTGTCTATCCATTCATGTCCTTTGCCCATTTATAATTAGGCTGTCTATATCTTGTTGAAGTGTTAGGGGTTTTCTGTAAGTTTTAGGGACGAGTTCCTTGTCTATTATGTCTCTGTCATTTGGCTATATTTGAAACACATATTCAAATTTGCCTTTTCCTTTCCATGAAGGAACTTGGTCTCACTTGTGCTCTACATCTATACACAAAGCTCTTTCAGCAGAGGATGACGACTGCCTTTCCACTTATAAATCTCACTGAGGTAATGATAATGCACTTTCCTCTGAGTCCAGAGAAGGGTGTGGCTGAAAAAAGAAAAAGTGTCAATCCACCAAATACGATGGTCCATTAACTACCATCAACTTGAAAGGGCGCATGGGCTTGGGTCCACAGGCAGCACAGTAATAGAGACAGTCCCTCTTTATTACAAATCTGTCTTTAAAAGCAGAATAGTTAGGTACCTGACATCAGTCAGTCAAATATTTATCTAAGTATATAGTGTGCAACATGCATTTCTCTGGATAAAAAGCTTTAAATATCTCCAGATAAACTAAACATCCTGAACATAATAATAGTGTGATGATAATGTTTTGATATGAGGGCTAAGTAGCTCATGATTTCCTCATAGGAATCACTGTATGTACCACAAATGTTTACTATAATAGACTTTACTTGGGATTCCTAATTACCACTACCAGCAGATACTGAAGTGCCCTAACCTGGGAACAGCCTGGAGGAAGAAAGAGTAACACAATGATTAAAGGAGGAAACAGTCTACATGTCAGGAAATGACTAAGATCGACCTATCTCAAATCAATGAAAACCGAAAAGAACATAAAGCTTAAGCAAATTAGATGATGAAATTGTTTAACAAAATCCTTTCCTTATCAGATGCTAAAACAATATTGAGGAAAACAATGAATTCTAAAACAAGGACTATGAAGGTTGTACAGCATATATTATTTAAAGGAGTAGTTGGAATTTTTCACATCTGACATGTGATAAACCCAAACCCAATGTCACTGAGCGCGAGCGCATTCCAACTCAATGACCCATCAGATTTCCGAGCAGTAAATCTTTAAAGACCTCCTACAGGGTGCCCCCTAGGTCAGAACCACCAACCACTATGGTTAGCTGCCTGACAAGTTACATTCTACACCACTGAGGCTTCTTTCTGACATATTAACAGGTTGAACATGTAAATTATTAGCATGCACTGCTTCACTGAGGTGCAGCAGAGAGGATAACATACAGCCTTTACTGCCATGAGGGAGCTCTGGTGGCCTAGTGGGGAGTTACACTGCCAACCGAAAGGCAGCCAGTTCAAATCTACAAGCTGCTTTGTGGAAGAAAAGATTGGCAATCTCCTCTCATGCATTTTATAGTCCCTGAAAACCCACTGGAGGGTCAGCTATGAGTTTGTTCCAACTCAACAGACTGACTTAATGAACCAGAAAAACTGCTGTTGTTGTTAAGTCCCATCAAGTGTTGACTATGACTCATGTTGTTGTTAGGTGATGTCATGCCAACTTTGACTTACAGTTAGTTACCCTAGAACAATGGATCTGAACCCTGTCATATCCTGTGCCATCCTCACCATCTCTGACACATTCGAGTCCATTTTTACAGCTCCTGTGTTAATACACATTGCTGAAGATCTTCCTCTCTTACATCGACCCTCTGCTTTTCCAAGCATGATGTCCTTCTACTATGACTGGCCCCTCCTAACACATACCCAAAGTTATCTGAGGCTGAGTTTCACCATGGCGCTCTGAAGAACACCCTGGTTTCACTTTCTCCAGGACAGACTTGTTTGTTCTCTTGGCAGTCCATGGGATACTCTGCTCTTCTCCAACATCACAACTCATCCTTACTCACTGTCCAAATTTCAGATGCACAGCAAGCAACTGAGATGATCATGCCTCGGATCTGGTGCACCTTGGTCTTTAAATTGGCATCGCTGTTCTTTAGTACTCTGGAGAGGTCTCTGACAGCAGATATTCCCAATGCAACTCATCTTTAGATTTCTTGACTGCTGATATCAAGGGTGCTGACTGTGGATTTAAAATGAAACTGTTGACAATTTCAATCTTTTCTCCATCCATCACAATGTTGTCTACTGGACCAGTGGTGAGGATTTTCGTTTTCTTGATGCTGAGATATAATCCATATTGAAGGCCATAGTCCTTGATCTTAGCAACCAGATAAACAACAGATATGAACCTTGCCCTGTTCTCCACCATCCTCATGATTTCTGACACACTTAGGCCCATTGTTATTGTCACTGTGTTATCCTCTTTCTCTGAAACCTCCACATGATGTCATCATCCAAGAACTTGGCCTCTCTTCTCAAGTCCAAAACATGTGAGAGAAAATTTTATCACCCTGGCCTCTGAGGAGCACCCTGGTTGCACTTCTTCCAAGACAGATATGTTTGTTCTTTTTGCCATGCATGGGACAGTCAGTACTCTTCTCCAACAATACAATTCACAGTGTATTCTTCAAAATCAATTCTTCTTCTGTCATTCTTATTCACTGTCCAAACTTCAGATGCATAGGAACAACTGAAAATACCATGGCTTGGGTCAGGGTACCTTAATCTTTAAGCTGACACCATTGCTCTTGAGCACTCTGGAGATCCTCGACAGCAGATTTTCCCAATGAAAATCATTAGACCCTGATATTCTTAAACACATTCATGCTCAACAACCTGTTCTTGTGTAAATGGTTCAGAATTCTTATCTCTAACACAGTTACAAGATGGCAAAGGGTAAGTTTGTCTATAGTAATACTTCCTAAACACTGCGGTTAAGAATAAACTTGTTGTTGTTAGGTGCTTTCAAGTGGACTATGACTCACGGTGACGTTGTGAACGATGGACCTGAACTCTAAACATGACCCTGACCCTACCCAGTGCCATCCTCCTTCCCAAAAGTAGACCTATATTGTTAACAGGTGCAACTGAGAAACCAGTGCAATCAAAATAGAATTGTTAAGCTTTAGCATCTTAAGTAAAAAAGAAGCCAGAGAAACAAAGGGCTTAAGAGGAAAGAAACAAATATAACTAAAACATTAATGAAGATCTGAAATATACAGAAAAATAATTTACCTTTGTATCCACCCACTAACTATAAACAGATGCTAACATCTTGCCCTTTGTTTTCAAATCTCTTGCCTTTAAAATAATACAACACAGATATAGCTGAAATCCTAACTCTTAAGCCTCCCACCTCCCCTAAAATCAACAGTGCCCCATAGTTGCTACTTCAAGGGTTGTGTGGTTTATTTTTCTTCCTCCAAAGTTTAAAGTGATGAAATGTACCGCACATACTGAAGAATGTACAAAACGCTAATGTACAGAATAATAGATAAAATTAAAGTCAAATACTCTTAGTAGCTCTGACCCAGGTTGAGGAAAAATCATTGCCATTATCCCAGGCCTTTTTACCCATGCTCTCTTTCCTCTACAGATATTTACTATCCTAACTTTCAGGGAGCTCTGGTAGCACCGTCCTTAGGGAGATGAGCTGCTAACTCAAAGGCAGTAACTCTCTGGCTATTTGAATCCATCAATGGCTCTGAAGGAGAAAGACGGGCAATCTCTTCCCGTGTGGTTTACAGCCTATATCTAAAACCCCAATAGAGAGTCAGTAGTGAGGTAGCTGTAATTTTGACAACAGTGAGTTGAACTGATCTTGACTTTCATTTTTACTTTGTCACTTTTTTTAAGAAGTCCTGGTGGTGTGGTGATTAAAGCATCTGACTACAGTATAAATTCACATGGCTCTGTGGGAGGCAGATGCGGCATCCTCTTTCCAAAAGGATTTACACAAACTATGAGGATTTACAGTTTCAGCCCTGTGAGGCAGTTCCTTGTAGGGCTGCCATGAGTTAAAATCAACCTGATGGCAAAGAGGTTTTTTTACTATGGTAATACTAAAAACAAGAAAATAATGGTGGGAGGTAGGGGGAGAAACTGCATGTTTTAGTAAGCTTCCTTCCTCCTTCAAAAAAATAAACCAAGCATACAGGAGACTGCAGCTACCTTAAGTGCAGACGTAAGTCTTGCAAATCATCAACAGCTGTGGGACTAGGATGAGAGAGTGAGAGCAAGAGACAGACAGAGAGAGAGAGAGTGTGTGTGTGTGCTTACCACAATAAGCAGCAAGACTTGAGGAAGACCCCGGTGAGCGTGAGACCAGAATGAAAACAAGACCCTAGTAAGAGTGAGACTCTGGTGGTGAGATCCTGATGATGGTTGTGGACAGACTCTGGTATTGTTATGGAGAAACTGGCAAGGTGTAACCAGAGGAATCCTGAGATAATGTCACAGTTAAAGGCTTTCCTGTTCTTGCTGGATGACTGAAGGAGAAGCTGACTTATAACCACTCTGAGGCATACCTTGCTAGATGATTGTTCTTGAATTTGTGTTGCCGAACTGAAATCAGGACTTTTTACTAATTAAGGAATTGTGTTTTGCTGTTAATCTGGCTTGCGACTCCTGGACTAAACCTAGTCTTTCATGTGTGAGATTCCTTGCCTTCCCCTACTCTCCAACTTATTTCCCCAATCAATTCCAATCTTGATATAACAACTGTGAGTAAAGTCTGTGAGTCAACAATGAATATTGAACCCAGCAATTGGTGAAAATTGATGTAGGAGCATTGGGAGTGGCGTGTCTGACCAAGGACCTATCTATTTGCTGCTAGGCTATTACTGATGGTGTTAGTTCTCCTTAATATGAAGCAGGTAGAAGTCAGATTTGACCGCCCTGTAAGACCATATAAGAGAATGAATTAAATCTGTGCTCAGAAAGACTAGTTCAAAGGAAGGTAACATCATTCTAAAATAACTACTTCATTCTGCAAGCACACTCCTCATATTCAGGAAAAAACTAAGAATGGTTATTTCAAGAAAATGTTTTTCAAGAGGAAGAATGGCCAAGATTATAGCTATATCTTTGAATTGCTCCTGATTAGAAGAACCCACTGTATATATAAATGGTCACCTCAATCTATAGGAAGACTTGACTTTCCACTCACCTGTAAAACTTTACCGTGGACCACTGTTCCAAGGACTCCTGAACACAGCCGAGGGGTTAGACCAGTGAACAAGCCCCGCTTCCCATCAATCCTTGCAATGTGCTGCGCTAAGAACATAAGCCAGAAACTTAAATTCCAGTTGGAAAAAGTGAATTCATAGAAATTTCAAAGAAATATGCCTTCTTTGCCATCTTAAGAATTCTATCTTTTTTGAAAGGGGTTTTTCTATCTCAGACCTCAATGTTGTTAAATTACAAGTATATCAAAGACAGTCACTGTCATGGGTCAAATTGTGTCCCCACAAATATGTGCTATCTTGGCTGGGCCATAGTTCATAAAGATTTGGCAGTTACAGAATAATGTCACTCCCCATAATATGATCTGACTGAAGAGCCAACCAACTATTTACGGATTAGAGTGAGATCCTACACCCTTCATCAGGTCACATCCTTGATCCAAAGGGGAGCTTCCCTGAAGTGTGGCCTCACAAGAGATAAAAAGGGAGAAACAAGCAGATGCAAACTTATTTACCACCAAGAACGAAAAGCCAGGAGTAGGGTACATTCTATGAACTCAGACTTGGGAACCTCACAGGCCTAGGGAAAGCCAGATGCCCAGGGAGATACCTACAGAAAGCTAGGCCCACAAATGCTGAATGGACGTGAAGGTCCCTCTTTCTAAACTGTAAACCAACAGAGAAATTTTTCCCCTAGCACTGACATACTCAATTCCAACTTCTAGCCTCTTATACTGTTGAGAGAATAAATCTGATAACTAAGATACTTACCATAACAAAAGAGACCAGGAAGCTGACATACTTGCCGTCCAAAAATATTTCGTCCTATTGTTGGAGGAAGAGGCTCATATCCCACCTTTCAAAACAAGGGCCTATATCAATACCAAGCAATACTCTCAAGAAGTCCCTGTTTGCAAGATCTTGGATAAAGAACAAAATCAAGGTTTGTTCATACACACACACACACACACACACACACACACACACACACATATATATATACATATATATATTTTTTTAACTGTTGCCCTTCCAGCAGATTTTCTTTTTTAGTCACTCATTGTTCCATATTTCCCTTCCTCCCCCCTTTCCCAGTCCACTTTGCAATGCACAAGGTTTATAATCTTTAACACAAAAGAAAATGTAATTTACCAAGGCAACAATGAAGTATTATCCTTGTCAGATTTAATTTCCTCTCTTTTTTTTTTTTTTTAATTTCCTCTCTTAATTTTATCAAATGATAGGACAGATTTCAACAATTTCCAACCACTGTGGAGTGCATCCTTTGGACTCAGGGAACCTGGGTCTAGTCTTTTTTTTTAGTTCAAATTCTATGAAATGAATCATATAATTGAGATAGACTAACAAACTTTTTAATAGAATAAAGAAACTTTTCTGTTAGGAAAACTGCAGCTTATGCGGAAGTCCAAAAAGAATTTTTAAAGAAAACCGAGAGGATTCTTAACTTTTGGACAAAATGAGAAGACATTCTCTAGCCTAGTATCAACTGCATTATTTGGCGAGTAAAACAAAGCACAGAGGCAAATGCAAATACAGCTGGATAATTCACTCGTGAAGTAATTACAAGGTTAATTTCATGTTCTATGGATAGAATGTCATTAGCAATTAATGAATGACATTTCAATTAATGAATGGCCTTTAACTCTAAAAGAAGTAAATAAATAATGGTTATCTCACCCCCCCCACAGTATATTTGGGGTTTTCAGTGCCAAAAGTTGCTTGAAAGAATAGTTTTGCTTATTGCTCTCACTCTTAACCGGAAGACAATCACTTGGCTAAGGTGACTGAAAGTCCAAGACAACTATTTTTAAAACTTCAGAATTTCACCAAAACCTCTGAGATACTTGGCAACACACAGATGTGGTGAAATCAGGATTAGGGATATTTACGTTTTCAGACAAGAACACTGTCCCTTATAAAACCTGTCTTCAGAAGTAGTGGTATCATACCAGTTGTACAAAATGCTGCTTTGCCCTCAAAGGTGCCAGTTCTCGCCTTCCGACGTCTTATTACATGCCAATCACGGTCTTAGTTTTGGGGTCAAATGATTTTTTTACAAGAGATAGAAAAATCTAAATGCACACTGGTCAACTCAGTAGCAGATAAACTAGATTAATGTCAAGTCAAGAACAGAAGTGTGACTCTCCTTAGGATCTTCTGATATTTGAAAGGCAGACTGTGAGGCCCTTCCGGACAAGGCTTCCAAGAAAACTGGCCCCTTCCCTGGCACATAATTACGCTAACTGTCAATTAAGGTTGAAAAGATGAATGACCTTCACATCATGAGAAAACTGTCGAAAAGCAGCTGAAAACACTGACAGTCCTATCAGTGAAAATGGACTTGCCTGTGAATACAAACCACTTACCAAGAAATTCTTTTACAATATATTAAAAAACTAACTCCTATGTTTCAACTCCCCAAGACTCTCAACTAGCCACACTTCACTGTCATGCACCACATGGGTGGCTGCAAAGAAAACCCTCCACGGATCCTTCCGAAATTTGATTCGGCACCCACTTCATTTGTCACTTCTGAATGAGCTCCTTGTGTTGATCTAGTTAGTGCTAAAATCTCGGTACCGAATAGCAACAGTAGAAGGTAAAGCAGAAAAGCAGTGGTAATAAAATGTTGGCTCTATGGGTTCGAATTTAAAATGACTTTACAGTATATTCCATGTTTTGAGTTTGGGATTTTTTTTTTAGGGGGCTTGCGAAGGAGGCGGGAGGTGAATGCTCATTTCAGAGAAGGGGCGAGAGGAGAGGGCGTCCCCACCCTGGAAAGCCTTTAGTGGCGACTGGCCAGGATCAACATCAGGGAAGAAAAAACAAAGTTCAGGGAAGCCGCCGCGCAGGGCAGGGTGGCAGTTGGCAAGGGAAGAGGGAGCGGGCCTCACGGCGAGGAGGGCCCGCGAGGACCCGCCAGGAGGGTTCGCGGGGCGGAGGAAGCTGGAGGTCGGGGCAGCAGGTGAAGGAGCGGCATCTCGGCGGCATGAAGGCCCGGGAAGGCTGCAGCCGGATCTCCAGGCGCCTCGGGGAGCGGCGATCCAACAGGGCGCGGGCCGGGGAGGGCAATGGCGACAGCTCCTACCTGGATGAGCACCTTCACGTACATGAGCGGCTGGGACAGGATGGTGAGACCGGAGCCCAGGAGCACCTGACTGGCCGCGTCCGCCATGATGGCACCTGCGGACGGACGGACAGACTGACGGAGCCACCAAGCGAACGAGCCGGCCCAGGGTCACGTGCCAGGGCCGCCGGCTTCACTGGCCCGCCCGCCGCGGGCGCGCGCACGCATGCTCTGGCGCGCGCCTGTTCCCCCCGCCCCAGACCCCGCCCACCATCCCACCCAGAGAAACGGCAGGCGCTCGCGACCGGGCGCGGGAGGCGGGCGAGCGGCGCATGCGTCATGGTGTAGGCTCCGCGCCCTCCACTAGGAAAGGCAACTTCTCCTGAGCATGCGCAGACTGAAAGCTTCACGGAGGGCGTGGCAATGGGGGGTTATGACCCTGACTGGGAAGGCAAGGTCAGAGAGAAAAACCAGTGGTTTTTTTTTTTGGTTTTTTTTTTTAATAATTTTTTTTAAATTTTATTTTATTCTTTTTGTGTGAGTGTACCGTCAAATCAGATCTGACTGGTACAGGAGGAGATTGTCCCTCCTTCCCCGGCAGAGAATCTGTTGGATTCGAACCGTGCACCTCTGGGATTGTAGTTGCAGCTCCTTACCACTAGGCCACCAGAGCTCCCCAAAAACCAGTGTTTTTGATCGGCACTTTATTCTAAACAATCCTGGTAGTGTATTGGGTTAAGAAATGACCTGCTAATTAAAAGTTCGAGAGTCGAACTCATTATCCCCTTTCTTGGGTGAAAGATAAAACAATTTTCTCCCTGGAAAGAGTGACTAGGAAACCTTTTGGGAGCTCAACTCTTGTCATCCTTTGGCCATGTTGCTGGGAGAGGCTATTCCTTGGAGAGAGACATCATGCTTGGAAAGGGGAAGGGACGGCGAAGGAAAGGAAGACCCTGAACCAGGTGGATTGACAAAGTGATTGCAGCAATGGGCTCAAGTGTGTCAGCGATTGTGAGGATGGCGCAGGATAGCACAGGGTTCAGGGTTCAGATCTATGAGCGGGACTCTATGGCATCTAACAAAACTCTTGTCCACAGCCACTCTGAGTCGGAATCCACTCAACTTCAGTGAACTGGGTTGGTTTTTTGTTCTTGTGCTTTTAACAAACTCGACATAAGAGCCAAACGGCCAAAATCTAGTTCAGTCTCTGACAAATGATGAATCCATCAGTTGTTATCTGCTCTCGAATCCCTGTGACGCGTAGCGACCCTATGTATTGCATCTCCTGAACCCGCATCACTGATTCCAACACACCTACCCCCATTGTCCCAGTTACTGTATCAATCCATCTCATCTGGGGTCTTCCAAGGTTCGGTCCCTCCTGGACACGTGCCCATAGTATGTGAGATGGACTTTAAAATCCTAGCATCCAAGGACAAACTTGTTTCACCCTCTCCAAGACAGACCTATTTGTTTTCTTGGCGGTCCATGGTATGTTCAAGGCTCTTCTCTAGGACCACAATTTTTTACTTATTTTTTTTTTTTTTAGGACCACAATTTGAAAGCATAGATTCTTCTTCTATTATCCTTAGTCATTGTCCAGCTCTGTGAAGCATTAGCAAGTGATTGTGAAGACCATGGCCTCTTAAGCACACCTTAGTCTCTAGACTGACATAGTTGGATTTCAATACTCTGGAGAGGTCCACGACAGCATATTTTCCCAATGCAATTGTCTTTTGATTTCTAGACTGCTGGTGCCAAGAGTGTTGATTGTGGAGCCAAGCAAACTGTAATTGTTAACAACTTCAATATTTTCTCCATATATCATGGTGCCACCAATTGGCCCAGAGGTAAGAATCTTTGTCTTCTTGATGTCGAGCTTCAGTCCATATTGAAGACTACAGTCCTTGACCTTCTGCCACAAGTGCTTCAGGTCTTCCTCACTTTCAGCAAGCAAGGTTGTGTCATCTGCATAATGTAGGTTGTGGATGAGTCTTCCTCCAATCCTAATGCCACATTCATCCTCAGTAAAGCCCAGTTTCCTAAATGACCTGTTCAGCATACAGATTGAAAAAATACAGAGACAGAACGCATCACTGATGCACACCTTTCCTGATTTTGAACCATGCAGTATTTCCTTGGTCTGTTCTAATGACTGCTTCCTGGTCCAAGTGTAGGTTTCACATAAACACAACCAAGTGTTCTGGGATTCCCATTCTTTTCAAGGTTAGCCACAGTTAGTTGTGATCCACAAAGTCAAATGCCTTTGCATAGTTAATGAAACACAGATAAACATTCCTCAGGTACTCTTTGCTTTCTGCCAGGATCCATCTGACTTTGGTGATGTCTCTAGTGTCATGGCCTCTTCTAAACTTAGCTTTTATTTCTGGTAGTTCTCTGTCAATGTACCATTCCAGTCATCAGTGGAAGGGCATTTTTTCAGTTAATACTACCTTTCAGATGCCTTCCCTGGCCACTCATTAACTGTTCTTGTTAAATTGTGTTGTGATAAGTTGGAATCTTTTCCAACTCAGACTGACCCCATTTATAGCAAGAGAAACTGCCTGTTCCTGCACCAACCTCACAATTGCCACTGGATTGGAGCCTATCATTGCAACCACTCTGTTAATCTGTCCTGTGGAAGGTATCATTGCAATACCTCTTTGTGACTTATAGCGACCCTCCATCAGGTTTCTGAGGCTGTAAAGCTTTAAGAAGGCCACTGCCCATCTTCTCTAACTTAGTCACTGGTGGATTCAAACCACTGGAGAAGCTCAGAGGTGCAACTCACTATGCACTAGAACTCTTTGTGAAGTGTGTACTGTTGTTATGACAAGCCAGGGCGTTGACTACATAGCAACTAGCTCTCAACCTTGTCCTATCATGAACCCATCAGAGCTTATATTTTGAAGCACTTGGTTTAAGGCTGAAGAATGTCACATCAAGATTGGAGTGTTGGACTCACCAACAACCTGCATTATGCAGATGATGACACAACCTTGCTTGCAGAAAATGAAGAAGACTTGAAGCATTTATTGTAGAAGATCAAAGACGACACAGCCTTCAATAAGGATTACCTCTTAGCATCAAGAAAACAAAAATCCTCACAATTCATTATAATAGATGGGGAGGAAAAGGATGAAGTTGTCAAATGATTTCATTTTACTTGGGTCCACAATCAACACCCATTCCATGTACGGGTCAAGACATTACAACAAGACATGCTACAATGGGAGAATCTGCTGTCAAGGATCTCTCTAAAATGAATATCTATTTAAAGACTAAAGTGGGCCTGATCCAAGCCATGGTATTTTCAGTTGTTTTCCATGCCTGTGAAAGTTAGGCAAAAGAATAAGGAAGACAGGAGAAGTGATGCCTTCATATTGTGGCGTTAGAGAAGCATCTTGACTATACTAAGGATTGCCAGAAAAACAAGTAATAATACGTTTCAAGAGCACAATTGGGACCAAATTTCACCATCTTTGTCTCTAAGGAGCCCCGTGGCTACATGTCCTCCAAGACAGGCTTGTTTGTTCTTTAGGAGTCCATAGTATATTCAAGTAAATAGTGTATTCTTAAATTTACTGCAGAGGGTTAATAACTCTATAGTTTGCAATATGAGTTAGAGCTCACCTCAAGAAAATTGGCCCATTGGGCCAATTTGCAGCATCATGATAGATAGATGGAGAAGAGATTGAGATTTTTAACAATGTCAGCTTGCTTTCTTTTACAATCCAGCCAGTAGTCAGGAAATCAAAAGATGAAATGCATTAGGGAAATCTATTGTCAGGGACCTCTCCAAATTGCCGAGGAGTGAGGATGCCAGTCTAGAGAGTAAGATGCACCTGATCCAGGTCGTAGTCTTTGCAATTACTTGGTAGCATCAGAAAGCTAGACAATGACCAAGAATGACAGAAGAAGAATTAATACCTTTGAGTTGTCGTGCTGGAGAAGAGTTTTGAACATACCATGGACTGGCAAGACAACTAACAGGTCTGTCTTTGAGAGGGTGAAACCAAGCGCTCCTTGGAGGCAAGGATTTTGAGATTCTGGCTCACATACTTTGATTATGTAGCCAGGAAGGGCCATTCTTTGGAGAGGGATATCATCTTTGGAAGGGTCAAAGGACCACACAGGAAAGGATGTCTCCAGATGAGATGGATTGACACAATAACTGGGGTAATGAGGATAGGTGTGTCAGAGACAGTGAGATTGGTTCAGGATAGGGCAGGGTTCAGAGCTATTGTGCATAGGGTCGTGGTGAGTCACAAGCAACATGATGGCATGTAACAACAAAACAACAACAACCCTATGAATAACAGATCTGAACCTTGCCCAATCCTGTACCACATTCATGATCTCTGTCATGTTCAAGGCCATTATTGTAGTCATTGTGTCAGTCCAGCTAATTGAGGGAGGGTATTCCCCTCTTTCTCTGACCTGTTGCCCTTCCCAGCATGCAGTCTTCCCCCCCGCCCCCAAGATTGTCCCCTCCTAACAACATGCCCAAAGTATGTGAGACCAAGTTTCACCATCCTTGCCTCTGAGGAGCACCCTTCCTCCAAGACAGATTTGTTGGCCCTTTTGGCAGTCTGTGGTGTATTCAGTACTCTTCTCCAACACCACAATTCAAAGGCATCAATTCTTCTGTAATCTTTGTTAATTGTCCAACTTGTAGATGCGTAAGAAGCAATTAAATGGAAAAGATGATGGCTGGGCTCAAGTGCACTTTAGTTCTTCAATTGACATTGTTGCCCTTCAGCACTTTGGAGAGAAATTGGACATAAATTTTTTCAATGCAAACATGTCTTCTGATTTCTTCACTGTTGCTACTATGGGTGCTGATTGCTTGCTTTCTTTCTTCTTTTTTTATTTTTATTTTACAAATAGACATTTACTCTCAGAAAGTGTCCAGGACTTCGTTCATAGGGTCGCTATGAATCACCTGCGACTTGATGGCACTTAACAACAGTACCACCACCAACAGCATAGAGAAAGAGCGAGTGAGCAGTCAGCCTAGCGGACAGAAAGCCATGCTCCCAAGCCAAAGGTGGGTGACTCTACTCTATGGCCCTCAGGCCTGCCTTTAATTGTTTTTTGTGAAACAT